CTACACTCTACCTCAAGCCTGTGTTGCCACGTCTACACCAGCCTCACTGAGCAGGCCCCTAAAGTCTGGATTCTCAATTGGCATGGCAACGTGACTTGACGCTGCAGATTGCCTTGGCACTCTACGGAATATGCACCGAGTGAATCTCGTGGTAAAGCCCTTACTTCATGCACCACGTCTATGAGCAAACCCATCTACTAATAGTCACCAGTGCTTCTCTCGCTCTTCTATCACATTCTATCATATGCCAACCCATAAATGTGATGGTTCTACTTGATCCGAATGGGCTTGACTCGTCTCTTTGACGAGTTGTCGTGTGGTGCTGATAATGACAAGACTCACTGACGATGCCGGCGAAACGTCTGGAAATGTACTACATCGACGGTCCGACTCTGGAAATGATGATGCATACTATGGACTCAGGATAAGCTGCGTTCCTCTGCGTCTTTCTGCCCATATGACCAAGTTGCGAAGACAAGATCAAGCAACTTGTCTACGACGAAAGGAGACCGCGGCCATACTGGTTTTCATACCTTCGATCAGTCTAACATTGTTGATTCCACGTTGTTTTCGCAACTTGGTCAGGGCGTCAGGTAGACCTTGTGGAACGTACTTAGTCCCGTGTCCTTTGCCAGAGTATTTGTCATTCCCAGAATTGGATCATTGGCTGGATACATTCCCAAACGTTTCACTGGCATCGTCAGGACAGAGTTACAACTTAGCAAAGTGATAGAAGTGGATTGACCTCGTTGTCGCAACTTGGTCTTGTTTTCAAGGAGACCATGTAGAACGCACCTAGTCCAAAGTCGTCGGCCATACTAGTTGTCATGATTCCCAGCATCTGACAGTGGACTTGATGCATTCTCAAACGTTTCGCCGGCATCATGACGATGATACCCTCGATGCTCAGATGATGTTCGTCATGTGACGGACGAAAGCTTACCACTTTTTCACCGGAATCGAAGGAGATTGCCTCGGTAACAGCTTCAGCATGAATCTTTCTGTAAAGCCAATCGACAGCTGGTCAAGAGTAATCCGATGTCGTCTTCTGGTGGAACCGACCTTCCAATCTCCTTATCCAACACTTTCACTTAAATGGAAATAAGCTCAACAATTATGAAACAAGAGATTCCTTGAAACCCAAATTTTCTTCGTTAATTTGAGACTTTTGCAAA